ATACGCGAACACCAAGCTGATATTAAGCATAAAAGACACACCACTGCCTTATCCACCTATGTCACCGACCCTGAAATAAGGGCGGACTTCCGGAACACCAAAGTTATCAGACACGTGTTCCGCGCGGATCACATCCGTCACCTGGAGGCCTGGGAGATTCACAAAGCTAGCAGGGGGGGCAACGGCATCAACTACAAGGACGGGGAAACACTTGCACAGGCGTGGAAGTATTTATTCGAGGAGTTCGAGCAATGGCGGTCGGAGGGGTGAAACCCGACGCGCACGTTTATTTATTTACATCGTTGGCAACATCGTTACAACGGTCGGGTCGACAGTCACCACCTGAAGCAGACCTCGGTGGAGGTCGAAAGTACTTGTGGAACTTAATAGTGAAAATAACCCTCATAAAAAAGGTTTTTTCGTGGATCGTTATTATTCAACGAGGTGTTAAATTGTTGGAAGTAGTTATCTTTATGGATTATTTTCTAATACAGAAAATCAGCTTAAATATAACAAAATTTTATTAATTTCAGAAATCTTCACATAAAGGTATTCCTTGTTTAATGTGGAATTTGATTAAAATGCAAAATTAATTGCAGCAATCCCGGCAGAAGTTTTAATTAACACATCTTTACCAGCTGTCTTTTGCTTAACATAGATAACATATTTGGTTAATGTGATTTTGATATATGCAATACCATTGAGGGATTAATCTAAATCAAAATTAAACATGATATCATTACCATTTGCTTTACATGCCTCAGTTTTTTAAACTACAATGCAGAAATATATTTTATATTAAAGTAACATTGATCCACAACTTAAATTAATATTATTATTATTATATATTCATTTATTAAGTAATATGAGTTAAAACTTAGCCATATTCTTTATATTAAAATGGATGTCTTGTTAGAAGTTTACCTGTATATTTCAAATATTTTATACAACTGAAATTATTATTAAATAATTCTTAAATTAGAAGACAGATAAAATAAATTTTTGCGTAATATTGTAAACAGTAGTAGAATGAATGAAACAGTTTAAAAACTATAATAATAATAATAATAATAAAAATATGAGATGAAATTTTATATTTTATATTAAAAAACCATTCAAATTTTTTAATCAATCGTATAATAATAAATATTCCATGATATTTAATTAGTTAAAAACTTTTGGTAAGAACATGTGTAAAAATGGTAATAAATTTATATGATTAATTTGAAAAGATTTATTATATATGATAATAAGCTAAGTTTAATTAAGTTGTGTATTTAATAAGATAATTTCTTTATTATCTTCTTATGTTTCCAAGTAACTATTTTAAGTTGGATTCAAAATTAACATGAATCAGATTATGATACTGTACAATTAAATTGCAAATTATAGTATATAATAGTTGTCACATGATTTTCATTATAATTTCCTGCAAAACTGCATTAAATATAAATTGTGTTTTTGGATATTAAAAATTTATTTTACATTTCTGAAAATAAGTTCAAATAAAATTTAAAATTTTTAATAAGAAATTTTATACATTTTTTTGTTCATAACCCTAAGCTATTAAAAATATAAAGCCTATGTATTTTATATACATTGTATGTATAAGCACAAAAAAATTTTTATTTTTATCAAAATCTCAATAGCTATCCTACACCTCTTAATAGTCATAACAACAAAAATAATGTAAGGTCTTATTCTAGAAGTCTTGATGCTTTATTTAGTACAGAGTATTTGAGAACTCAAACTTTTCCTTTTATAATATTCCACAAAATTGTACAAAATCAAAAAGAATGTAAGAAATGCAAAAATAACAACTTATGATTCATAAAACTGTTATTGTCACTATTATGAATCATAAGGTGTTTTCTTTCTTTTTCTTATATTCTTTTTGTACAATTTTGCAGTGTATTCTGATGAAGAGATTCACTTCTCAATAGTATTAAATAAATAAAATTAAAATTTATAGAAAAAGATAATGTTTTATTTCTGTTGTTACAAAATCTCAGTATTAGTATTTTTCTATAAAAATAATTTATCTATATAATGAAAAATTATAGCAAGTAGATTATGCTAATTGAAAGAGTAATTATCAAAGCTATACAAAGATGAGAAATATTAACACATTTTGAATATATGATACACAACTTAAAAACCTCTTTAACAAAAATATTTTTTTGAAATTTCTTGAAAGAATGGATCAATGTTTAAAAACATCAATTTTAATCATTGAAAACTGTAAATCTAAGAGATGACGTCTAAAGTAAACCAAACTTTTGATACGTGTTTTATTATATCAATACAATACACAAACTCAAACTCCACACACTCTTCAAAATAAGCTCCTTCTGCAGTTATACACTTCTACAAGCATCAATACCACTTCTCAAAGCAGTCCTGGAAGACTTGTTTTTTTGTGATACCTTTATGAAATTTTATTATTGCAGCTACCACAGTTATTGCTGATTGGAACATTGTGACTCTCTAAATTCTCTTTCAAAAATTTGAAGAGTTCCAATTTCCTTTTTAGAAAACAGATAAAAGTCTGTAAAAACAAAATTAAGTGAGCAAGGAGGCCATGGAAGTACTATTATGCCCTTCTTGATAAAATGTTTATTGACTAAGAAATTCACCTTTTATTTTCCAAAAATAAAAAATGCTTGGAAACAAGTACTTTTAAAGGATTGAAAGCACTTGTTGATACAAAATAAATACTGGAAAATTAAAGGTGAATTCTTAAGAAATATTCCAACTAATTTTTTAATTATTGACTAAGAATGTTTAATGGGAAAAGGGACTATCAATTCTTTATCAACTTTCTCTAATATTGTTGTATAATTCAGCTTTATCATAAGCTCAATTATACAACAGTATTAGAGAAAGTTGTATTTCTATCTTTATCATAAGCTATCGTGATCAGAGGGTTGGCACCTCTTTGATGCCCTGTCGGGACTGACATCACCGTGTTCCGATTGACACGGAAGCCGAGACGGCAAGTTGATTCGGTCACGTGAGCGATCAGGCGGGATGAAGTGAGAGACAGCGTGCCAGAAGTGACTCACGCAGAGACTAGGATAATGAAACAACCTAGTTTATTTAGGAAAAGATTTAAAGAAAAGTACACGGACCCCGGGAGTCTAAGTGATAAGGGTGATATACAATTATATACATGCCTTAGCGAATGCTGAGAGAAAGTTTAGAAAAAAAAACCACGTGGTGATAGATACCTGATGTAACAGTGGATTTTCCGTAGGCTGGAGCAACCTCGTTGACTGGAGTTGGAAAGTTCAGTGAGGAGGAGACAAGGTAGTCCTATTAGGTATTCAGTGACAATGTTAATCCAAGGATGGCACTCACTAATTCCGTAGGTGATCAAGAAAGTTCACAAAGGTAAACGAGAAGGTGAAAGAGCCAGAGGCGATGTATATAGTAAAAATGTGTGACAACTGCACTTTTGGAAGAACAACCGACGACTGCCAATTTTGTTGGTTTGTTATATTCAACTGATGAACTGAGACAATAGGTCGGGAGGTTATGAGAAAATGTCACTTAGCTGCTG